TAGGCATCATTAAGGGTCACAATATTGAACTTCCATACTTGTTACAGCGAGTATTTTTCACAGATATAACTGAATGAACTAATATTTTGAATTTCAATGTCGTTTGACTTTGTCTTACATTTGAGATCCCTGAACTGAAGATTAAAACCTTTTCTGTAACGGCCATGTCACAAATCTTCTCCTAAGGGTATTAGAGTAAACACTACGTACCAAAGTTGATTCAATATTTTAGTCATATCAAAAACGATGATAATTCTAAACTATTAGGATTGTAGAACAAGCGATGCCCTATCGAGTAGACTATCTCACTGTATCGAGCAATACAGCCTTTTGGAATAACCAAGAACGAAAGATTTTTGTGAGGTCGGTGATCAGTGAGGACATAGTTGAGACTGGAGTTTTTTAAACATAAACTCAAATTTAGTATGATCTGATGCGCTGTCCCACAAGGAATCTGAATATGGTCTTGGATTTTATTTCTGAGCTTGTTGCAATATATAAAACTACTAAAAGCTATTGGAGAAAATTTTACAAAAAAAAAGTCCTTTACGAATTTTCCATTTTTTCTGATTAAAGTATTTTGAGCATATCTCCATAACAACAAAAGCTTTTCGAAAAGACTTTTTTTTATCAAAATGCCTAAAATTAAAAGCTCTAAAAACTCTGAAACATTCATCAAGATCGATGATGAATTTTGTGCATGTAGTTGAGTTCATGTGAAAATGCTCCCATAGAAATTGAATATCAAAAAATAGGCTGAAAACATCTAAATCTGCCCTATTTTATACCCTTTGTCATTTTTATATAGTTGATCGCCCCGAAAAGCCAAGTATACCATTTGAGCAAGTTTCGCTCTATCTTTGCCACTATGTCAGTTGTCTGAGAAATTTCAAAAGTTGCATTTTTTTTCAATTGAAATATAAATCATTTTCTACTGTTTTAAGATGTCATATGTGAAGATACATCGACTTTTAGCCTTCTCTCATTCGTTCCAGAATTGTAAGCAGTATTGCTCCGGATACTACGATCAAAACTGAATAAAAGTAGCCTTATAAGAAAGCTTTGCGAGCAAAAACTTGCAAATAATAAAGGCATAGAGAAAAAGATGAAAAACGCGAAAACAATCATTTGTGAAATTTTACACGATAAAAACTATGAAAAGTCGGTTTCTGGAAATCATAGATGCCAAAGTATTTTCTGCAATCCAAATACATCAAAATGATCAGCTAATTGAGCTCTACAAACACTGAAATTTTCACGTTAATAGGAGATATTTCATGTAAACGTGGTAGAAACCCCATGGAAATACTGAGAAACAAAACAAAATTAATAAAAATAAATTTACGAAAATTAAAATTGGTAAAATTAAATTAAATTCATATAAAAATAAAATCATTAAGATAAAAATTAATCAATTGAAAATTAGAATTAATATTAATACAATGAATAAAAATAAAGTATGCTAAAATGCAATAGTTGAAATAAAATGTCCTTGGATACATTTGTATCGTCGGGTCAAACAGGTTCACATTGCCGAATATCATCGGATCCTTTTGTCGGAATCCAAGAGAATCCGACGTCGAAAACTGTCGGATGAAGCCGTTTCCGACAGGGTGAAATTGACCTCGGTACTTCAAACAATTTTTAAAAAAATTGAACATAATTTCATTAAAAATAAAAATACATTCATAGTATGAAAAAAAACACACCATGGGAGACACAAATGCAAAAGAATTGACACATTATCTTGTCAAGAATTAACGAATTCATAAATAATTCAGTCAGGTAGTGATTATAGCAATGTATTTTCGATCACTGAAATTCTTTGTTTTCTACGGTACTATTGCAAAGTTTTATTTTTCTTTCTATTAGAAAAAAATAACGGATCAGTTCAATTGATCAATATGAAATTGAAATAAAATTTTCAATTCATCGGGTAGAAAACAAAAAGCATTTTTAAGTAATAGTATTTTTTGTAAATGATCCTTAGAGGAATCATTTTGAAGTTTATCTAAATTCGAACTAAAATAAACTCGAATTTTTTCTAATAAAGATTTATAAATATCAACATATTTCGGATTACCAGATAAAAGAACTCGCTTTAATTGTTCGAAAATATCTTTCGGTGGATGAATATAAAATGTTTCCATATCTGAAAAATCATAGCGTTGTAAAATATCATCAAGAAGATGATTTAATCGTTTTTGTAATTGTTCTTTTTTTTCATAGACAACGTTTGATTTATAATTATCTGATAATTCACGTAGAGCATGAGTAAGATTTTCAATAGATTGTTCAGCTTCAAGATAGTAATTAACATGAATAAATAAATCAATCGAATGAACTTCATGTATAAAAATTTTAGTTAATATTTGATGAATTTCATTTGGAAATTTTCTAAGATTATCTCGAGTTTTTTCATCAATTAAATTCATGATACGATTTTTAGTTAAAATAATTGAAATATTTTCAATATTATCATTTATTAATCGAATATTATTTTTTTCTTTTGAAATATTTCCTTCAATCCAATATGCCATTGATTTAGTATGTTTCATTAATTTATTTAATGAGCATTCTAAATCATATTTGATTTGATTTAAATATTTTGAATTTGAAAAATTTTCATCAATATCGGCTAATGCTATATCAACATATGCACAATCTCCTTTCGATATATAATCTGTAATTAATTTATGAGCATCCTGATATATTTGAAATATTTCAAGATGATATTGTTTATATAAACCTCGAAAACCGTAATCAGATAAACTAAATGAAGAGAAACGATCTAAACAAGTTAAAGATTGTGCTATAACTAATAGATGTTTTAATTCTTTATATTTACTCGACATGGAAGAACATTCCATTTGGTTATCTAAAAATCGATGATAATTTAAAAATTGTCGATAATAATTTTCAAGTTTTTCATCACCGGATATACATTGAAAAAGATTGGCATATTTATTTAAAGAATTTAATTCTTGAAAATAATTATCAAAATCTTTTGAGTATTGACGAATATCAGTTTCATTAACATTAGTTATATGTTTAAAATTTCTATCGATTTCTCTATAAAGAAAATTTCCATATTCTTTAATATATTTCTGTAACAATGAATTCACATCATCTAACATTTTATTTAATTGAAAATTTTTTAGTTTTTCGCAATTACTAACATATATTAACGCATTATTAGCTACTGATGCGTCTAATTTATCACTGAAATAATATATTGCATTATTCTTTTCATATTCCTCAATAATTATCTTTTTCCGTAGGATATCTTGTTCAAGTGATTCATAACTTGTGTATTCTTTTTCTTCTAAAAATACTTTTTGTTTAAAAGAAATAATTTCTGATGAAGGTGATAATGAAATATATTTTTCTTTGATTGATATAAGCGGATCTAAAGAATTCTTAAATTCATTTCTTTTATCATCGATCGATTGTAACATATCGAAATAAATTATTTGAAGATTTTCAAAAACTTTTTCAACATCTTCATACTTTGAATATCCTTTTTCTTTTAAATAACTATCTGGATTACGATCCGGTTTTTGAAATGTAATAGCTACTTTACTTATCATTCTAACAAGAACTCCCTCACTTTCTTTCGAAGAAATTAACATAGAATAATTTTGCATAATTGAATTTATATCATCTAACTGAATTTCTATTTGACTTTTTTTTGCTTCGAATGATTCGAGATCTTGACATTGTTTAATTTTTAAATTTTCAATTTGATCATTTAATATGTTAAAATGTTGATAACCTGATTTTTTTAAATAATCTAAAGCTGGATTTAAATAATCACATTGATTTTTTATTTCTTCTAATTGATTTAATTTTTCTTTAAGATGTTTAATTGTTTTCTCAGATAAATTAAAAGTTTTTTTAATATATTCAAAAGCATTTTGAATAATATTAATAAAATATTCATTGATTTGATCTCGAAAAAATTTTATTTGTGGAATATAGGATTCTAAAATACTCATCAATTCAATTTTATCAATTATATCATGTGCTAAATGAATATTTTCGGGACATTTTAAAGTAAAATTTATTTTTTTAAGACGACTTTCTAATTGTTTAACATGTTCTTCTAATTCTTTGTGAATATGACACATCATTAATTGATATGTTCCAGGAGAAAATCTATCGAACCATTTAAGAGATGTTAAACGAGCTAATGATCGTGCAAGATGTCGACAGATCATCATTCCTGATTGATGATCAAATGTTAAAAGTAATTGTTCAGTATCTTTTTGTCTTTTATGCATATAACCACGAATATTTTCTATACTATGATAATATATTCGAGCTGTTACTGTTTTTATTTCAGGTAATTCATGAATTAAATTCAGTTGAATAAATAATTCTTCGACATGTTCTAAAGCATAATCTCCATTTTTTCGAAAAAGTTCTTCAATTCTTCGATGAATTTCATTAAAATGTTCAAGAATTTTCGAAATAAAATCATTATAAATTTTATTTAAATTATTTGAAATTTTATTTTGATTTTTGGTTTTTTCAGCATATTTTGAAATTTGATCTTTAAGTATTGATGTTTCTTTTGCTAATCTTAAAATATTAATATAATTTTCAATAATTTTAATATCAGAATTTTCTAATCGAATTTTTGAAAGAAATGGATCTATTTTAATTGAAAAACTATTTAAATGTTTGAAAAGATATTCAATTGTATTTTTATATTTTTCTTCAACTTTTCCATTTAAATGATCATTGAAAATCGAAGAATATTTCGAAATCATATCTATAATTTTTGCTATTTCTTCAAATTTATTATTTAAAATAATTTCTGAAATAGGTTCGAGAAATTTTAAAAAACGTTCATCGAGTTTTTCACATATCTTTGTATAATACGATTGAAGTTCTTCAAACGAATTTTGTAACATTTGGATATTATTTAAATATATTCGTATGAAAGGATTATGTAAATCTTGTTCTGTAAGAATAAAATTATTCTTTTCTAATTGAACAATCATATTTTCAATAAAACTATTATCGGAGATTAAATTTGATCCTAAATAATCTTTTAATTTTTGTATTTGTTGAATGTAATTATGAAAATATTTATATTTTAGAATATCTTCTTCTTTAAATCCATCATGACTAATTAAACAGCGATCAAAATCTTTGTTTATCTCTTTAGAATATTCATCAATCTTCTCATTAACAGATCTTATAGAATCATTATAAGAATCTTCAATAAAATTTTGTTTTATCAAATTTTTTAATATCTTAAAATTACGTAAATTATACAATAAAAGATCGAGATTTTTACGTTTAACTGCAGAAGTAATATTTGTTTTATATCGGTGTATCTGATTCGAAATAGTAGATTGTGTACTTTCACTAAATGAAAATTGAAAAACTTCTACAGGATTCTCAATGCCATCTAAAGATCGGACTTTTGCAATTAAACTTTTCGGATCTCCACCTATCGGATTAATGATCTCCGCGCCATATTCAGTTTTATTAATCATATCTGTCAATAGAGCTACAAAAGATTTATCTGATCGTAGAACAAGATCGTTATTTACTTTGAAATTTTTCAGATCGTGCAATATAGCATGAATATCTGTTGTTAGTTTGTAATTTGTAAAAGCATACATTATAGATTTAAGCCGATCTTCAATATGATCTATCATTTTAACTAATATTTGTGTTAATTTTTGTATTCCTTGTCCTCTATCTCCTGAACTTTTATAACTTAATAAAGCAAGTATCTTTACGCTTTTACAATTTTTGAGAGCTTCGAGAACTCCAGCAGAATTTGCAATATCAACTTCTGGACCTGATGTATCACCAAAACCTGGTGTATCGCAGAAAATAATCTCATCGGTTTCATCAGGACCAAAAATATCCTGTAATGGAACTGTAACAGGTGTAACATAACGTGTTTCTGATCTACAATATGGACTAGTTGTAATATGAATTAATCCAGGATTTTTTATAGGTTCACACATTTCTATATGATCTAAAAATCTTCCAGGAACTATTGCTACTTTAGTTTCTTTCATTTTAGCACCGGCAAGAAACTGAACTGTTGTTGATTTTCCACATCCAGTGACACCAATTAATAGAACAATATCTTTATTACGAATAAGTTCAGCTGTTTTTTCCATTTTTTCTATCAATCTTTGTATTTCTTGTAAATGTAAAGGTCGTATTTTTCTTAAGATATTATTTAACATATTNTTTTATTAATCATATCTGTCAATAGAGCATGAATATCTGTTGTTAGTTTGTAATTTGTAAAAGCATACATTATAGATTTAAGCCGATCTTCAATATGATCTATCATTTTAACTAATATTTGTGCTAATTTTTGTATTCCTTGTCCTCTATCTCCTGAACTTTTATAACTTGATAAAGCAAGTATCTTTACGCTTTTACAATTTTTAAGAGCTTCGAGAACTCCAGCAGAATTTGCAATATCAACTTCTGGACCTGATGTATCACCAAAACCTGGTGTATCGCAGAAAATAAGCTCACCGGTTTCATCCGGACCAAAAATATCCTGTAATGGAACTGTAACAGGCATAACATAACGTGTTTCTGATCTACAATATGGACTAGTTGTGATATGAATTAATCCAGGATTTTCTATAGGTTCACACATTTCTATATGATCTAAAAATCTTCCAGGAACTGTTGCTACTTTAGTTTCTTTCATTTTAGCACCGGCAAGAAACTGAACTGTTGTTGATTTTCCACATCCAGTGACACCAATTAATAGAACAATATCTTTATTACGAATAAGTTCAGCTGTTTTTTCCATTTTTTCTATCAATCTTTGTATTTCTTGTAAATGTAAAGGTCGTATTTTTCTTAAGATATTATTTAACATATTAACTGCAGATGAACAATCTTCGTTATAAATATTTCTATTTAAATCATCAAAATATGTTCGAATTTCTTCGAAAAATAATTCTTCATCGTGTATTTGAGTTTTTAACTCTCCTAATTTCTGAATTACTGAATCAGATGTTTCTAAAAATATAAATTCATCAAGTAATCTCTGATGAAAATAGACCAAAAGTTCCATGGTCATTTTCTCAGCACAATAAGGCATATCAGTCAAATCATCACGTAAATTCTTTAGATCAGATCGATTATTTTCTACTAGAGTATTTTTCTGATATCTATTTGATTTCTGAAAAACTACTTGTTCGTGAAGTATTTGCGTTTGTTCTAATTCATTTAAATATTTCCTTTCTTGTTCAGCTTCTTCTATTCTATCTTCACGTATATAACTATCAATTCGTTGATATGTTCGTTTAATTCTTTCAGATAAATGTGTCGCATCTTTTACTTTACATTTTTCTAATTGATCGGTCAAAATATTTTCTTGTTCGCACAAATCAAAAGTTTTACCGTCTGTTGTAGTAGATGAAATCATTGTAGATATTGTTTCATTTTGTTCAGTTGAATTTCTATTTGGTTTATAATCACTAAGAATTGATTGGTGACAATTATCCATCATTGATTTTATTAACGTTTAATGAATGTAGTATTTCAAATAGTAAATCGATATTATGTGGCTCATAAAGAAAACAAGGCTAAAATTTGTCTTGAAATCGGACAGGAACTGAATAATAACAGAGATGTATTAGATGTTTTTTCAATAAAAAAATCCTTGCTCGATTCAAATGATTTTTTCCTCGTTTTATTAATAGCAAATTTAATTGATCATTTAATTTTGACACTTGAATTTTTCTAACCGAATGAACAGAAGTGATGTATTCATATAAGACGTCGATTATTTGATGTGTTTTCAGCAATTGCGGCGGTCTCAAGGATATGAAATGAAGGTGAAATTTGATTGTTTGATAAAAATATGATTGTTTAATAGAAGAAAAATCAGCCGAGATGGAATTTGATGAGGGTTAGAAATGTGTGTAAAATTGATGAGTCAGAAAAATAAAAACATGTAAACCGATGGATGGAAAAAATATAAATAGTTTCTAATACGGAGAACTGAAAACAAATCATATGCATTGTCGAAAGAGGTCAGCCTTTGTCAAACTAAGTGTATAGAGAGAAGCAAGTTGTTTAGAAAATCGACCATGTCAATACCAATAAAACCAGTGAGAGAATAATCAGACAGATTCGACTTTGACCTACAAGGAGGTCTCAGTTAGACTAGTAAAACGCTGAAATGGTTGAAATCTAATCATTTTAGAATGTTCTGAAAATTTCAGCCGAACAGACTTTTCCTTTGTCGAGATATTAAATTATTATAAAATAATCTACTATCATAGACAAGGTAGAAAAAGAAAACAGTTTACTTGATAATGCAATAGCTCGACAAAGAATCTTTCAAGATATTCGAAAAATGATTGGACCTATCTGTGAACAAAACTCTGTTATTTGATTTTTACTCAATATCAAATAAAAGGTCCAAAATTCAGTTAAGAGGTTATAAGTCGACTTCAAACGCTCAACATGAGCTCAAACAGTGAGTTTCACTTCTGATGGGTCCTTCATAAGTGTTATGTATTAAACATGAATATATATTGATTTAAAATTTCAACTAAGAAAGTTGAGTATTTTGATTGTTTTTCAGATACAATCAAAAGTATAATAATTTAATGAAACAAGGAAATATAAATCATATAGATTGCAAAAGTCACAATTATTCTAGTGTTTCCAAGTTCTTTCAAAGTCTACAAATATTCGTAACATTTTTCAGTTTCACTGTATAAAAAAAAGAATTTCAATCGAAATTTTCTTCCCCGCTTGATCATTTTTGTACGTTTTCAATAGATCAATCAATCAATAGAAATAAGCATAGCACAATAAGAAAACATGTGCGTAAAATATTTTTTTTCTGAGAAGAAAAAATAATATTACAAAATACACATCTCAAATACATATGTGAAATCGTTCTTTTACTATAATCAATATCATTTTATCTATCGATATTTGTTTTTCTTGTCGATTTGCACATAGTTCAACTAAATAAGAATTTTCTATTCAGATTTCGAATATTTATGGTGCGGGTATGGGTGTTGGTGTCGCGGAATATAAGATTCACAGCCACACCCCCCCCCCCCCCCCCCCCCACCCCCCCCCCCCCCCCCCCCCCCCCCCACCCCCCCCCACCAGTCATTAACAACTTCAACAATATTTTTAGGAAGAAGCTGAAACTTTTTTCACCAATTTGTTTCTCTTCCAATACAAAAATTCTTCATAAAAATTTGCTTTTGCACGATTTTCCAAGGAAAATTTTCGTAATAAGAAGAGTCATTTTTTGTTCAATTTAATATACATTAGGATTATCTTTGAACATGATATGTAGTTGTAAGATTCGAAATAAAATTTAACAGCTGCGTAGAGAATGTCCGGGGACAGATTTTACCTTTATCTACAGAAGAAATGATTGTATTTTAGATTCTGTGCGTAAGAACTAGAATAAAAATAATTGTTTCTATGGTCATGTTGAGATTGAAAATCGTTTGATACTAATCATGAAAAAGAAAAATTTTATGTGAAAGTTTTCCATTAGAAGAAAACATCGTAGAGAAAAGTTTCTATTTCTTGAAATAAATTATTTCATAGGTTAGTATCTATCTTGAAACTGTTGACTAGAATTAAATTTGAATTTGTTGATAGAAAACTATGCTAAATCGTTTTGAAAGTTTTATTTCATTTTCATTTGAATATGAAAAGTTTTAAAAAATTTCTTACACATATAAACGAACATTGTCATTATTTATTCTTTTTTGTCTAATACGTATTTAAAAGCTAAAACTTTCTTTAATCTTGTAATAACAATTTGTAATTTATTTTCTCATGCAATATAAAAAAAACAGAAATGATTTTTAAAGAAAGTCAAGCATGATTTGCTCTCTCATTGTCTCAGTAAGAGTGTCTGAGAAAAGTTTAATAAGTGTCTCTGTCGCCTTATTATTTGTACTGATCATGACAAAAGCATTTATTAACTGATTATCATTCAATGCTGTATAAAGTTGACCACCGCCAGCTTCTGCCATAGCTTTTAATAAATCAGTTTTTCCATCTTTTCCAACAAGTTCATCACCAAAAGCAACAGTATGACAAATAAATCTGTGATCTTTTTCGTATTTGCTCTTGAGATGAGCTATGAGTGCTGCTGGATTGTTATTTAATAAATCTATTCCATCTGACATGAAAATCATCACAACTGATGATTTTGTTGAATCAGCTTCAATAACTTTCTCTGCTTCTTCTAAAGCAATATTATAATTTGTACCACCATGTAATTGTTCAATTGTACGAGGAGCATCAGAAAACTGTTTTCGTTGATAAACAATTTTTGCTTTACTACTAAATTGAACGACACTAAAAATATCATCCACACCTTGATTTCTTTTACGACTTTCCAAAAATTCCACATAAGCTTTTTCTAAGACATTCCAATGACAACTCATTGTACTTGATCCATCGAGTACAAAAACAAAATGATATGAATGTATTCCTGGTTCGTCATCTGTAAATGGATATACAACAGTAAATGTTTTATCTGTTTGTTCTTTTTTCTTTTGATAATAATTATAAAAAGCTTCAGTCATTTTCTTTGTCGCATCTTTTTTAATACAACAGAATATCAAATCAGTTTCAACAGTTTTTGTAAGAAGACGGTCACAAATTTCTTCAAATGTACGTGTACCAACTCCCTATAGAAAAGAAAAAACCATCAATAATTACATTTCATTTTATTATTCAAATCGATATAATAAACAAAATAATGATTTTTTTAATTTTTTACCTGTGGAAATCTATCAGTAAATTGATCATTCAATTCTCCATGACCTGGTGCATCTGTAATTAAAACAATAAAACGAGCATTTTTTGCTTTCCAACTTGGTAATGCTAAACATGTACGAAGAGCACCAAGTACATCTTCAGGTAAATCATCACCACCAATTGCTTTTAAATTACTAACAAATCGAGTAAGTTCTTCAATTTTATCTGTGAAATCACAAATAGAAAATTGTGGATCATCTCCAACAT